TGGTGGGTCAAACCTTTTCTTCAGACCACTGCTTCATTCAAAATGCCTTTTATTTTAAAAATCATTTCAGGATAAAAAGGCTCCAAATCCAATACTGACAAGTGTCACCATGTACTTTATAAATTAGCAAAAACGAAATATAGGGATTAAAGCAAGAAAAAATAAAATCCTGAGCCTGAACTTTTCGACACGGGCAAGAAACTGAATATGAGGTCGTGTTTGGTGACGAAAGCACAAACCCTTATTTTTAACTCGCATACACGATCAGTTATTGACGCTGGTAAATCAGCTGTTGCCGTAATTCCCGGCAAACGTGTAGTGCGATCGACCGCACAAACAACACCTGCCCCCTTCTTCTTCTGATTGGCTAATACGGTTAGTTTCAGAGCGCTCCTTTGCTACCATTGCCTGACAAACCCAAGAGGGATTTCGATTGTCTTTTTTTTTATTCATTTACCGCCAATTTAGTTTCGAGTGATTTTTTATTTTTATTTTATTTTTTTACCCACGGCCAATTGCTCCAAGCTAGAAATCTGGCCTGGGGCCAGAATACTTTAAACCCTGGACTAGAGACTGACATTCTTTCGGGAATCCCACGGGTCACGGGATTCCCGTGGGATGGGAGTCAGTATTAGTAACGATCATGTGATTGGAGCAGACGAGAGCGGGAGCAAACCAATAGTAACTAAAAAAAACTAGGATCGATGCCAAAAAATAAAATAAAATAGAAAGAAAAAAAATCCAGTACTGGCGCCGCCATTTTGTAGTTTTTTTCCTTGAAGCCTACACTATAATGAGAGTTAAAAAAAACTACACGACCCGAAAACCAACAGTGCTTCCGCTCTGAGTTTTTCACCCGCGTTTAAAAACAACAATGGAGGGACCAACAGTTACTACAGTTAGAAACAGGAACTTAACTGACCCTTCATAGAAATTCAGATTCAATGTATTGGCAGAAATCTTATTGAAGACAACAAGAATGGGAGTGGTGCAGGAGCAGGAGTCATTCTGAATGGGAGCGGGATGGGAGTGGGAGTGATTTCTACTCTGGCCCGGGATCGGGACGGGACACAAATCTTTTTCTGTGGGAGTGGGAAGGGACAGGAGTGAAAATCCACTCCCGTGTCAGTCTCTACTCTGGACATAAAAAATTAAAGCTGTGTTTTAAGTCATACTATTACAGTTTAAAACGGCAAATCTTTCTTTTAATTTGTCCTGTGTTGAATTAAAGAGGACACTGCAAAAAATATTCATTTCCAAACAATCTGCAGTAAATGATGCCATGGTTATAGCATGGCATGGTCAAGTCCCTGATGCTAGCCTACAAAGTGCTTAAGGGTACAGCTT